CCAATCTGCTAACTTGTTTTGCCACATTCGTCGCACCCCCTGAAAATCGTAGTTAGGTTGGGAATATAACGGCACATATTTCACCAGACAGTGGTCAGAAGTTCCCAAGGGTGAGGTAACCTGAATATCGTACCTGTCTGGATCGGTCGTCAGCAGAACGTCGAGGCAGGTGGCTGTGTGTCCATCCACATCAGGTACCCTAGTCGCTTCACTGTCGGCAAAATTCCACGCCTCTCCCAGCGTGGTCGGTCTTCTGGTATGGGAACAGGCAGTCCTGATGACAGGCATTAAAGTCAACCAACTTTGCATTAGGGTACCGATTTAGAGCCACGTTAGAGGCTTCACTGAGGTGTTCAAACCAGGGCTCGAAAAACGTTTGGGACGGTTCCTTGTATAACATTTTGTTCGGAACAAAAACGAAATGAGTACGTAATGTGAAAACGTAAAAAGCGATTTATTTCGCAGGAAGCTAAATAAATGGCGCGTGCCACGACAAGTTAAACCTATAAGGTATTTTTGTTTCATATTGCAGGGCCAAAAAATGGGAAAAAACTGTTTAAAATGGTTAAAAACGTTTTATTGAACAAGAACGATTTAAAATTTCGTTCTCTTCATAAACATTTAGTAGGGTAATACGAGTATTGGGGCTGCTGCATCACTCACATCCGTTCGCGATGCAGTTCGCCCCAATATTACACTAAACAGCTCTAGTCACTGTTTTTAACTCACAGCGATTTACCATACTCTTTCAAACATTTATTTATATAATCTAACCCTTTCACGGCGTTCACATAAAAACATTGAGGATAATGTAATGCGTGTTGCATCCACGGATCATCGTAAATCTCCCAATCTCTAATAACTCCTCCACAGGAAAAACAAGCAGCTGTATGATTTATGCTATCGCCAAAATAAAAGAATCCCGCATCAGCCATTTCATTCACCACTGCTTCTCTTAAATCACTCGTTGCCCAATAATGGCTAAATGAAAATAAGCGCGTTTTATATGAATCATATAAACTATATCGGGGTCTGTATTCGTTTTGAGACATGTCCCTCATGCTTTGTGGAGGTTTGATCTTGCTGGTTGCAAGAGTATAATGAAGCTGCAAAGTTGCGCTGATTCCTTATAAACATTTTAAAAAGTTGCTGATGGAGAATTTTTTATGAAATAAAATAAAGAATATTTCAAATGTTATTATCAAAGCACCATTTATTTAAACAAAAAACATTTTTCAAAGAACACACTGAGTCGTGATTAATACAACTATACAAATCTTTACAATCTAAATTAATTATATTATCATTTTGTAAGATGGATTTTAACCATAAAACTTTTTCTAAACCTTTGACGTATATACATTTATCCTTTATATTATCTGCAATCAAATTCTTATAATTTAAATAAGGTGTTACTCCCTCACACCAATATATCTATTACGTTGAATCTAATTTACATGTTTTTTTTCATTTACAGTCAATTTGTAAAAAGGAAATGGCGGTTTAATTAAAAGTCGCTGTATTTTATTGTTACACAATATTGCAATTTCTTTCACTATGAATTAATTTCTTTCTGTTTTGAAACCTTGGACATCTACGATAGCAGTCATGTCAACTTGCGCACATGTTACTTAAAGGCTTATATTCCACAAGTTGATCGTTAATGATTAAACAATATACAGTTGTCTTCTCTGGTATTGCCGTTGTACATTCAATCTCCAAACAATCTATCACAAATAGCGGAGCCTTCTCCTTAAAGCTACTTAAATCAAGCAATGGGTCTGCGGGACAGTTGTAGTACGACTGGCGAAATTTCACATACATTTCGTATAATATATTAAATTTGTTTTCGGACAACTTCAAACATAAGGGCTCGTATGGGTAATATTGTGAATTCAAAAACAATGTCACATTTCTCACTCCACAGTGATGAAATACTGAACAGTCTTTCATTTTTTGATTTTTTCTGTTTGTTGATAAACAAAAAGTTACATATCGAGGTTTCTCTAATTGTGACGCAGTCTTAATAGACCAGGAATGCTTAGTTGCTGTAGGAAGTAAAGGGTATTCATATAAATCCCAATTTCTAAATGCCATCTGTATAGGTTTATCTCTTTCTAAATGTTTAAGCCATTGTATTCTTTGTATGTCTATTTGAAAATGTGCAACATCTTCAGTTCTTATAATACTATTTATATTAGAATTACTTCTGTTCAGTCTAAGTTCATGTTTACAATTTATTACAATTTTAGCATAACCTTCTGCAAACCCTAAAATCTTATTTAAAGGTACAGTAGCACTAAAATCACCGTTTTCACTTTTAAATCCATCCATATCCCAACCCCACAAAGCTGCTACTTTATTTTCTGCTTCATTCATTGAAATATATGATTTAATTGTTGACGTTATACCAGCATTTTTAATACGATCTATTTCGATTCCATTTATCTCATACCTTATGTCTTGAAACAAGAACATAATAGGATTATTACTGAACGTAACAGGTTTTTTAATCTGGTTTCCATCTTTGCTGAAGAGCTTTGCACGACCTTCGATGTAAATTGAACTGGCTGATGGTAATACATATATGTCTTGCTTATGTATAGGAGTTCTTATTTCATCGTTTTCTCTAAAGCTATTTTATATGGATTTATAAGAATGGACTTCATAACTTTCAATAGAAGTATCGAAGTTTGGTAAGTCATTAATCTGTAGTATATTCATACTTTAAATCCTAAGGACTTTAGAAAATCTTTATTATTTTTATTCAAGGTCTTAAATTTTTTGTCACGTCTTCGCACCTTAGTGAATGTAGAAGTAATAGGGCGCTTTAAGTAGACTGTAGGGTTTTTATAGTGCAATATCATTTTACTTTCCTCAAATGGAGGCGAATTTCAATATATTGTTCTTTGAAATTAATTCTGTAGCCAAATTGATCTAAAACTTTAATAGTTATAGATGGAATATTATTTTTATTCACTGGGAAGTAAATAACGTTCTGAGGTATTTCTATGTATTGATTATCTGCAGCAGTTTTAGATACAAATTCGTGAATAATATGAGTAGGTAACCCGTTGCAATATAAACCGTATATGAGATCACATTCGATTCTCATCACAGATGGGAACTTACTATCAACATAAGAATATTGTGTTGTTGAGTTTATTATTGAAAAATATAGTAAACTACACTCGTATTGACCTGATAAACTCAGAGGCGGTTGAAAGTAGGAATCCAATTCTGATTTATTTCCTGAGATAGTAACTGTTATAGACATGCTTGTATACTGAGCAATTTATGAAGTTCTTGTTTATTTTATGTCGTGATTGCGCCAAAAATTCCCCAAAAAAATCAAACAAAGATGTCAACAATTAAAAGGATGATCACGCTGTATGTTATCATAATTATAGTGGACTTTAGGACCTAAATATTTTATCAATTCCATTGGAGGTTTAATATTTCCATAACTGTCGAAATATTCAACATAATTATTAAATTTTACATAGGCTACCCAATGAGATCCCGGATTTGAGGAAATATCTAAATTTATAACTTCACATTCCTTTTTAAAAGGGTGTGTTGGGAGTTCATCTCTCATAAAGACATCTCGAAAATAGGGAATATTTTTTTCCATACTTTAAAATGTCAATGTTAGTTAAGGCGCGTTTGGGTAGCCTATATTCTAGTTTTTTATTTCTTTAGATACAAAAATGCCAAATCTATTTTTATGAGGCTTAAACTGTAACCCATTTCCGATACAAAGAGCTTCCATTCTTTCATTGTGTCTCTTCAATTCAGCAAATTGTTTTTTAGCCATTTTGATTTCATTTATAGTTTTAAGTATACCAGCTGCATCACATGCTAAGGCTCCCGTAGCCAATAATCCGGCAAAAATCGGAATCAAAGGTAGTACCCCACCAGTTTTTGGTATAGGAATAATGCGAGGAAGTTTTATAACAGAATTATCAACTAGTTCTCTAGCAGCAGCTATAGCTAGCTCAATTGCTGCTTTCTTGCATTTTGGTTTTAATTTTTGTATACGTCTTTCCGTTTTTGTAATGATATTCTTAAACTTATTTTTAAATTCATTCCCAAACTTTCTCGCAGACATTTTATTACTATTGCCATTATTTAGGCCAGCCCCAGTTTTAATTTTTGATTGCATAGCTTTGCTTACTATCTTTGCTGCTAACTTTTCTCCCAAATTTGCATCGGGAGCAATCTCCCGTGTTTTTGCCATTTTTAACAAAACTAAATCCGCCTTATGTCGATCCTTTAAGTTTGAATATTTGTGATACGCAATGTCGTGTTCTTTACAATATTCGTCTAATTTGTTTATACCTTTGACTCCACGTGATAGTTTTTTGATTAAATTTGTACCAGGACCACAATAACTGTCCCGGTAAATGTAATTCAAATGGTAAATTATTAATCAACCAATTGAGAAGACTACTCTCGCCAATGCACGTCATAAGACTGTTTAATCGCGCTTGGGATATTTATTAAATATACCATTTTTTCTTATTTGTTCTTAATGTTAAACACAGTGGTCAGTAAGTCTATTATAATATATTTTACTTATCGATCCAACTGTTTTCACTAGAAGATAAACCTAGCCATTTTACTAAAACTTTATTTCCTTTCTTTCTTAAACCTTTTTCGACTAAATATATGTTTGGATTTTTGGTCTTTAATAGCTCTTGCGCATAAAATCCTCCTAAAATTGGTTGACCTCTAATTGTATCTTCAATTAAGTAAGTGGTTGGAATTGTGTTCTGTAATTTTCGAATTTTAAATATTTCTGTCGACCAATTTGGAGTATATCCTTTTTCGAATGTACCTTTGTATTTGTTTATACGCACATAATCACCTACTTTAAACTTACGTTTTACATTATCATTCTTTACCAATCTAAGGTATCTCTGTAGTATTCGTTTTTTACTTTTATTATTAACATTGGCTGGAATTTCACCAATAGTTCGATGATAAGTGTGATTGTATTAGTAAATAACATTATTAAGAGTATCGCCTATCCAGTTATAATTACCCTGTAAACTAAATGCTTTATACAATTTAGATTTCAAAGTTCGAATAAATCGTTCAACTATGGAAGCCTTCTTTGTTGAAAAGGTTGAGTAATGATTAATATTATAAGAACTCATAATTTTTTTAAACTTATCGTTATAAAATTCTGTTCCATTGTCGGTTTGTAGATTTTTGGTTACACGTGTTTTTAGGAGCTTCATAAAATTATAGCATACGTCCTCTTTACTTTTAGTCTTAATTGAAAAAGCCCAAGCGTATTTCGAAAATGTATCAATAACGGTAAGAATAAATCTGAAGTTTTTGTTTTCCTTAGAAACTGATTGCATATCAATTAAGCCTGCTTGCCATAAATCATCTATATCTTTCGTAATAACATTTCTACGTGGGAAATTCACCCTAACATTTCTATGAATTTTATTTACTACATCGGCTTTACTCATGTTCAAAAAAACAATGTATTTTATTTTATTCTTATGTTGGTAGTTATTAAAAATAATTCGTTTATGCTGCTTGTTACTTAAATAAATACAGACAATTTTTTAGTAATTTGCAACATGAGCAACTTCACCAATACTAAGTAAAAGCTAGTAATAATTAGTATTTTATTCCTTTATAATGTTAGATTATTTTGATTCTTCAATGATCGATAAAATTTCATTATCATGATTTGTATTGCCCGCATCTCTTGAAGCTATTATTCTGTAATGAAGAAAATAGTAAAGCCCACATATATTTGGAGATCCAAGATCACTTTTGTTGGTAGGAGTTGAATGGCTACGAGGCTATCAGAAATAATTGTAAAATTTTGGAAATTAGGCGCACTAACATATTTTTCGGCACCACAGACTTTATTTGTGTTATTAAAATTATCTTTCCATACATTTACTAGCTTAACATCGACTTGTTTTCTTTTGTTCTCTATAATTTTTCCAAAAATTGAATTGTTTTGTTTTTTAAAAAAGTCTCTTTCAAAATCAGATGTAGTATTTTGTCTTAAAGATGTATTTAGGGAAATATATGGCTCAAAAAAGCCTTTTTGATTGAAAGCTAAAATCCTATGAATTTTCAATAAAACAAGTCCGTTTCTTAGGCATTCTTGTAAATGACGGTAATGAATAACATATTTATATTTATCATAGAGATTCGCAACCAATTTCTTATTACTAATGTTTGATGATATTGGAACTGTTAACTTTTCTGCTGCAAACGGTAAGACAGAATGTTCATCATGAATATCGCGTGGATATTGTATGTCAACTTCGAGTATATATCCTTCATTACTATTAGAACTAATAGAGTTATCAAAACTTCTTAATTCTTTTTGTTTTAAAAACCGAAAATTTTTATAAGGTAGTTGCTGCATCATAGCATAACCATACAAATTTACACAATCTAAATAAACTAAGAAAGAATTTGGATCTTCTTCATTAAAATTTGGTAAGTATTTGTTATTAGCCTTTGCATACCTTAACGAGCATTGAGATAGCCCTCCTCTTATACCATTTTCTAAAAATTGATAAATTTGTATATGGGTAATTAAATCCATTTATTTATTTTTATTTAATTAAATCCAACTCAATACTTGTCAACAATAGCATAGCATCCCAACTTAGTGAAGGTGATGAAACATAATGACAAGGATCGAGACCATAATATTTCAAACTCATGGATCTAAATTTCTCAAAAACGTCGCAAAGTAGTAAGACATCGCATTTCAGATATAACTCGGTATATTCACCTAAGTTTTTAATACCAAAATTTTGCCACACAGTTAAAGTATGATTATAATCTTCGCTTGTTATAGATTCTGATGTTAATTTATTGTAAAATTTTGATTGCTCTGGTAACTGAGTTTCTTTATACTTTTCCCAAGAATCTACATAGTCATAGCAATATACACCCTTTCTAAGACATAATCGGAATAAATTTTCATCTGGAAAGAATGTTCGCAAATGTTTTAAGTCTTCAGGATTTAGAGCTTGTGCTAAATGATCTAAACTTGAACTCAGGAAATTAAAGGAGTCTATAAATTTTAATTGCGCTGACTTCTGCATATCGATTGGAAAAAACTTTGTAAAAGAAATAAATTTCTCTTTGTTTTTTGGAATTAAATTTATACGACCGCATACACTTGCAAGTTCTTTTATAAATAAATGGCAATCATATTCAGAAAGATTATGAAATATAACAGGAATGAAATTACATTTTCTATTGTTTAATAGTGAAGAGCAGAGCTCTTTTAATAGTGCAGAAGTGTGTTATATCTGTAAAAAAAAAGTTTTGTTCTTCTGATTACAAAGTATATGATCATGACCATTTCACAGGTAAATACAGAGGTCCAGCTCATAATTCATGTAATTTAAGCGGATTCACGTCTTTGGAAATATTTAAAATTTTATATAATCTTTCTATATCCTTATAAATTGAATTTACAAATTTTTTTGAGCAATTAGGCCCTCGATAAGAAACAAAGTCATTCAATTCGGGATTGGATTCACAGCATTTATAATAAGCAAAACAAGTAGCTTCATGAACCTGAACATTTTGTACATGTTGAATTTATTCTTGTCAGAATATTCTCTAAGTAAACTTTCAAAGTCACCATAAATAACAATTGGAATTTTTTGAGACCCTTCCGGATTAGAAAATCGTAGCTTTGAATTCGTTTCTGGAAGAATAGTTTGCATGCGAGCACAATCATGTGACTCTAACTTTGTCTCAGAATCAAAGTAAAGAAAACATTCATCACATAAATGAACTTTACATTTGTGTTTCGTAAGTTGTTTATGTACGAGCTTTTCAAAACGTTTGATTAAAACAAAATGAGTCTTGTTTTGTTTATTCAAAAGCGATAAGTTTACATGCATTAACTTTCTTTCTCCCGAGTCCTACTTCAAACATCCTAGTTGTCTCCTGGTCTCCGCTGTGCGATCGGTAGACACAAGAATAAATAATTTTATCCATTCCTGTGTCTATCAATACCCAGATCGTAGAGAAAGTGGGGTCTTCAAAGTGACGGAGACGCTTCCAGCAGATGTCGTTGCGGATGTAAACACAGACTCCGGTGCCCTTATGGAAATTATGCTCCTATGTGTACCCAGGGTAGCCAAGGTACGCCGCATCTAGAGGACATCTGATCTGCGTCTCAGTCAAGAAGAGTAAGTACGGCGGCTTAGCAGTCTCAAGGTGGTAATGGACTGCATTGAGATTAGAGTGCAGGCCTTGGATGTTTGTGAGGTGCACTTTGATGGAGAGGGAGTGCAACTGCCGTACAGACTTACTTTTCTTTTTCCTTTTTTTCATTAATAGTGGGAGTGAATAGGTTGATAGAATGTCAGTTGGACGAGGCGTCACACATATAACCTAGGGACGCAAACAGAGTCACAGCATCGATAATACCTAGCATGGAGATCACGGGTACGCCCGAATCCCCCTGGAAATTGCCACCAGGCCCTCTCCTCTGGTCGCCAACCGGCATGGTGGGGCCATACCTGGATTTTTCGTAAGATGGCGGGGCAGCCTTTCATGAGTGGCTGGCTCGCTAACCTCCATAACCAGACACCTGACACTAAGAAACGGCGCCGTGTCGCAACCGGTTCGTATGCGCAACGCACCTGTCCAGACCCATTCTCCCTAAGAAATGGGTTTCATGTGGTAATTTATGTACCTATTTACAGCAAACCGAGTGATAAAGAGGCGTAGGTATAATATAGATACTAATAACTTCATGAGGGTATCTCACACAAATGAGAAATTTTTATTTCGCGTATTCTTATTTTTGATATTTTGAATATTTTATTTTTAATAGAATCGTGGTATAGTTAAAATAAAATAAAAATGTAGCTTAGCTTAGTTTTTGTTAAAAGTATAAAATGGAATGGAGTCATATGATTATTTTTAAGCATTTATGAAGTCCGTCTGTCAGACTCAAGCTAAGTACAAGATTTACGCATTTTCCAAAGATGGTTCTTACGAGCACACGGAAAGAAAACGGTAAAGGATTTTCTTACGCTGCAACCACACGGCTCGGCGGGTTTGTAAATAAAAAGATCTATCAATACTATAATACAGTGCATTCCAACCTTTGGGTCGCAACCCAAGGGTGGTCGCCAAGTCATACTTGGTGGGTCGCGATCGCAAGCCGCAAGCCGAGGGCTAGGAATTGTCCGCCGCGCTGCCCCAATGCATGTTGACGAACTTCACACGTCTTTGAAGCACGTGGTAAATCAGCACTTGAAATTGTAATTAACAATGTCATTGGAACATGGACCGAACCGGGGATCCCGGATCGGGGGTTGCTCGCGTACTGTGTAAATTTACAGCGAGCGCTTAGCCCCTAAGCTACCACGGGAAACTTAAAAGTACGTCGTTTTTAAATCACTGACATCACGGTTGCCACTTTATTACTTGTAAAGGAGTCGTGAAATGCAAACACGTTGAAAAACACAAACAAAAAAATTACAGCTAGAAAGAAAAAAATTGTATTTGCACGCTTTAGAAGTCAATAACGTAACCTACCTAGGTAATGCGACATTGACAAGTTTCTACAAGAGAGAGCCCGGGAACAGAATACATGTGTGCATAGAACAATAAAGTGACCTGAATAAGGATCAAAATCTCATTCTATTTGCGTTTAATTATGACTGTTAAAACTTATCACGAAAAGTAAGCTATTTGAATGTAGTGTTTCAATAACAATTTAATGATGACATTTCTTTATTTGAGTTGTGTAAATGTTTGTGATTTGTGTTGATTGATGTTTTTTTTAGAATAGGGTGACAAACGAGCATACAGTCCACCTGATGGTATGTGGTTACTGTGAGTGAATAAAGACTCAAGATGCAGATGCGTTGTCACCCGTGAGGACTAAGATGGAATGCCTCTTGTCCAGTAAAAGGGTCTCCGGTTCTCGACGCTCACCATACTAAATACAGCAGCGTTAAGCTGCTATTTTACGCTGGTATTCTGTGAGAGCGTGGTCCTTCCCCGGTCGAGCCGACCCATTCGTGCTACAACTATACTACTAATATACCTGCAGCATGGCTCTACCGCGTAAAAAAGTAAAAAAAGAAAAAATAAGTTAAAGATGTGCAAAAACTTAAAGAGCAAACCACTGAGTCATTGTTTTATATATTAATACAATACTCTATTTATTTATCTATGCCGAGAACCAACATGGTAGCCTCACAGCCTGTAAATACATGGCTCTCTATTTTCTTCAGACCGGAATACGAGTGCACTGCAATTTGCCGGCGGAAATATGTAAGAGGGTGGTATTACCCATACGGATAGCGAGGCAGAAAAAGGGTCTTAGCATTTAGTAAAATACGAGTTTACAGTCTGTTTCATAACTTGTACTTTGTTAGGAAATAAATACTATCAATTATGGAGGAACTTGATGTTGATCAATTTTACAATATTACTACTATTATTTATTTAG